AGTTGGCTGTTTGAAACCTGGGACTTATGCAGGGACGCTTGGCTCAATCTGGGAGGAGGGGACTGGACCTGCCTGGACTGAGTCTATCAGGTTGATCTCAGTACTCGGGGGAGGCTTTGCCCTGGAGGAGGTGGGAATGGGGGTTGGGCTGGGAGGAAGGGGGAGAACAAGAGAATCTGTGGCTGTTATGTAGAACTGAATGGTATTGTAAAATAAAATAAAATAAAAGGGAAAAAATAAATTTTTTTTTAAAAAAAAGAGTGTTAACTGCCAGGCGGTGGTGGTGCATGCCTTTATTAATCCCAGCACTCGGGAGGCAGAGCCAGGCAGATCTCTGTGAGTTCGAGGCCAGCCTGGTCTACAGAGTGAGATCCAGGAAAAGCACAAAGCTACACAAGAGAAACCCTGTCTGGGGGGAAAAAAAGTTACTATTTTATTTTACATTGGAAATCCTTAGTATGTAAGGCTGAAATGATCATCCATTTATGATGGCCACTGCAAATTGACTGTTAACTGTTTGTTAGCCCCAGGTGGTACACTGGCAGATGACATGATGCGCACAGATGTCTGTGTGTTTGCAGCACAAGAAGACCTAGAGACCATGCAAGCATTTGCTCAGGTAAGTGAAACTGTCCATCGTAGCTACCATTCAGTTCATCTGGGGAGTGTCCAAGGGATGTCCTGCTTTTTTACAGGTTGCAGGTAGAAAGTTCAGGTTGGTTTTAAGTGTTAAGGTCTTAATAAAATAAATATGGCATATTAGAAACTTCAGAAGAATAAAATAGAAAATAAATTTGCTGTGGTTTGGGGTTTGTTTTTGGTGTTTTTTTGTTTTTTTTTTTTTTTTTTTTTTTTTTTTTTTTTTTTTTTTTTTTTTTTTTTTTTTTTGAGACAAAGTCTTAGTATGTAGCCTTTGTTGGCCTCAAACTCAGAGAGATTGCCTTCTTCAGCAAGCCCAGCCTTTACTTTTTTCTCTGTTTGGGGGGAGGGGGTTATTATGGATGTGTGCCCCTGAGTGCAGGTGTCCTCGGAGACCAGAGGCATCAGATCTTCTGACTGCATAGTAACAGGTAGTTGTGAGCTTGTCCATTCTTAGTGCTGGGACCCAAACTCCTGTGAGAGCAGTGGGCACTCTTGACCACCGAGTTAACTCTATCCCTCTTAAGAAAGGCAGTAAGCAGCTGGACAGTGGTGGCGCACGCCTTTAATCCCAATACTCTGGAGGCAGAGGCAGGCAGATCTCTGAGTTTGAAGCCAGCTTAGTCTACAGAGCGAGTTCCAGGACAGCCAGGGCTACACAGAGAAACCCTGTCTCAAACAAACAGAAGACAAGAAAGGCAGGAAGCCAGCTTGGATAGCTCATTCCTATAATTCCAGCACTTGAGAGATTGAGGCAGGAGGATGGGGAGAGACCAAAATCACCCTCGGGTAAGTGTGTTCACTGCCAGCCTACACTACATGAACACCTGTTGAGTCCCCCATCCCACCTCCACACTAGGAAGGTACTAAGCTGGATGTGGTAATTCGTGCCTAGAACCCCACACTCAGGCGTTTGAGGCTAGAAAATCTCAGATTTGGGCAGACTTGGCCTACTTATAGGGAGACTGAACAAAAAAAGCTAAGACGAACAGAAGTCAGGTTTTTTTATTGTGATTGCCTGCCATATTGAGCCATTCTGTAGACATTCTTTTCATTTTGAAGAGAAAAAAAATGGGTTTACCCAGGCTGGACTGGAACTCACTTTGTAGCCCAGCCTAGGTTTGAACTTAAGTAACCCTCCTCGTGCCTCAGCATTCCCAGTGCCGAAAGCTGTGTTACCATATTCAACTTCATAGTTAAATATTGACTACTTGTAAGCAAAGAATTTAAAGTATCTAACCTGGAATTTGGTGTCTGTGTCTGGGGAAAATAGAGCTTATGTTGTGATTTTACTGTTAGTTGAGCAATAATTATTTAGTCTTTATTTAACATAAAGTGGTAAAGTTATTGAGACGTGGCCATATTTTCAGTATGTGGTGAGATTAACCAGTGGTTCTAGAAATGACTTTGATCTTCTTCTAGGTTTTTAACAAGTTAATAAGGCGCTACAAATATCTGGAGAAAGGTTTTGAAGATGAAGTTAAAAAGGTATGAGGAAGAATTGGGTAGAGCATGTACTTGGCACCAGAATAGAAAGGGAAATGTTAATCCAACTCAGTCACATAGTGGATGTCATTTAGATGTTTAAGTAGGCTGTTATTGAAATATAGTTTGCAGATTATATCAGTTAGTTTACTGAAATATTTGAAACTTAGTTATTTCAAATAGTCACTTAGTGTTATGTTGAAACAAATGACAGTTAAAAACTAGGGATTGTTTAGAAAGTAAAGGGTAAAGGATCAGAGCAGAAGATGCTGAGATTACTTGTATTTTAATCCTAATGTCAAATATTTCATAAATAGATGCAGCAGCAAAAAGTCTGTTCTAGGCCGGGCGGTGGTGGCGCACGCCTTTAATCCCAGCACTTGGTATGCAGAGCCAGGCGGATCTCTGTGAGTTCGAGGCCAGCCTGGGCTACCAAGTGAGCTCCAGGAAAGGCGCAAAGCTGCACAGAGAAACCCTGTCTTGAAAAACCAAAACAAAAACAAAAAGTCTGTTCTAACTCTTCAGTATTAACTAAAAACAGCAACAAAGAAAACCCATGTTTTATTTTCACATTTACTATGTAATGAAACCAAGACCAAACATTTAGTAATTTGTCCAAGACCTGTGGGTTAATGAGTTTTATAAACAAACGTGAATGGTTGGGCCTCAGAGCTGAGTGTAGTTTGTTTTACTGCTTTTAACATAATGCAAGTGCTCTTTTGAACCCTGACTTTTTACTTTTACAGTTATTGCTCTTCCTAAAGGGGTTTTCAGAGTCGGAGAGGAACAAGCTCGCCATGTTGACCGGGGTTCTTCTGGCTAATGGAACACTTAACGCGTCCATTCTTAACAGCCTTTACAACGAGAACTTGGTGAAAGAAGGTAAGTGGCTTTTGAACAGCCATGAAAGCATGCTTTGCTGTTTGTGTACGCACCCGGGGCCTGGGCATGATGCATGCTGGGAGGTGGGGAGGGAGTCAGGGCGTTCCTTTGGTGATACCTACTTTAGAGGGTACGACGGAGTCTCTCAGGGCCTGGAACTCACTGAGTAGATTGGGCTGGCTGGCCAGTGGGCCCGAGGGAGTCATTCATGTTTCCATGTCCCTAGTCCTGGGGTGCAGGGACACTGGCATGCTCGGCTTCTTTGCTCCTCCTCCAGCGTTAGTTCTGGAGCTCAGGCCCCTTCCCTCATGTGTGCGTTGCATGTGTTTCACCAGCTTAAGTGTCTCCCAGGCACCTAGGACCCTTTTAAGATTTATTTTTTTCTGTGTGTGAGTTTATGTACACTGCATGCACGCAGGCATCCTGGATGGCTAGAAGAGAACGTTGGTTTTCCAGGAACTAAAATTACAGGTAGCTGTAAAACTATGTAGGTGCTGGGATCCGAACTCAACTCCTCTAGAAGAAGAGCAAGTGCTCTTAATCATTGAACCAACCAACCATCTGTCCAGCCCCTTTAAAAGAAAAAAACAAATTTTTTTTTGGACATTCCAGTTTTGGACACTTGATTCATACCTTTAGCATCCAAGTTTAGGGTATGTCTTTAGAGTACAGCACATATCCAGGTTGAAGGGCAGACGATTGTATGTATGAAAATGAGAAGTCCCTTGGGAACTCCGAGTCAGTTGAGGAACCCAGGAGTTAAGGCAAATGCTCTCCCAACTGAGCCTTAGCCCTTACAATCATTTTCTTAAATGCCTACCTTATTTTCTCCATACCCACAAGTTGCTGGGAATGTGGGGTCCCTTTTGTTCTCAGAAAAGCACTGGTTGGCATCTAAGTTCTCAACTTTGACTGGACCAGTAACTTAAAATTATCAAATGACAGAATGTGGGGCTTGTAGTGAAATGGTCACATTGGCACAGGGAAGTGAGGGGTGGGCTGGACTTGGAGAAACTGAGGCAGGAACTTGTGTTAGATCTGCTTCTTTCTTTCCCAGGGGTTTCAGCAGCATTTGCTGTAAAGCTCTTTAAATCGTGGATAAATGAGAAAGACATCAATGCAGTTGCTGCAAGTCTCCGGAAAGTCAGCATGGACAACAGACTGATGGTTTGTACCTTTCCTCCTGCCCCGCCAACCTGCTCAGTGGTGTGAGATAAAAATGAGTTGTTTTTCATCTGAAAACTTTTCGTTTGGTGTAAGACCTCCTAACCGCTTGTTCTTTCAGGAGCTGTTCCCTGCCAATAAGCAAAGCGTCGAGCACTTCACCAAGTATTTCACTGAGGCAGGCTTGAAGGAGCTTTCGGAGTACGTCCGCAACCAGCAGACCATCGGGGCTCGGAAGGAGCTCCAGAAAGAGCTTCAGGAGCAGATGTCCCGTGGGGATCCCTTCAAGGACGTAAGCTGCTCTGTGCAAACCATTCTGTTCTTAATGTATGCGTCTGTTTCACCTGTGTCATGGCTGTGTCCCTCAGTGTGAGTGCCCGATGCTCAAGTGGGTCAGGAGAGGAGGTTTTGTTCTCCTTGGACTGGAGTCATGGGTCCAGGAGAGCATCCATGCTCTCCCCTGCTAGCTGTCCCCCAGCCCTTTTTAAGCCATCTGTTTATGGCTACATTTTCACATTTTAGTTTTACTCATGGCCCAGAAATGGTAACTTGGAAGATTTGGTGGTGTGTAGGCCAGGGGCAGACATTTTTCATTTGGAGCCAGTTTGGTTGTGGTAGTGATGGTTGTTCCATTTATATAGAGGGTGGGCATTTGTACACTGATCTCCCACCGTGTGGTCTGGGGAATCAATCTTGGGTTGTCAGGCTTGGTTGCAGGCGCCTCATCTGTTTGCTGAGCCGTCTCTCCTGCCGCGCCGGTCTGTATGTAAAACAGGTTCCCTCTCCAGGTCCTGTCCGCGGCAGTGGCTTCTGTTTGTGTGCGGTACAGGTGGGACTGGGGCCAGTTCCATAGAAAGGCTGTTTGTTTGTTGTTTGTTTGAGGCATGGGCTCACAGTATAGCTCTGGCTGGCCTGGGACTTCTTTGTAGACCACATTGGTCTCAAACTCAGAGAGCCACCTGCTTGGAGGTTAAAGGCATCACCACACCTGGCTGGAAAGACTTTTAATTTTTTATTTTATTTATTTTTACTTTATATGCATTGGTGTTTTGCCATGGGTGTCGGGTCCCCTGGAACTGGAATTACAGACAGTTGTGAGCTACCATGTGGGTGCTGGGAATGGAACCGAGGTCCTCTGGAAGAGTAGTCAGTGCTCTTAACCTCTGAGCCATCTCTCCAGCCCCTGAAAAGTTTTTTTATATTTTTATAAAATGTCTAAATTTGATTTATGAAGTTTGTTTATATTAAAAATGGCCTCTACTAAATTTGGAATTTTTGCAGATAATTTTGTATGTCAAGGAAGAGATGAAAAAAAATAACATCCCCGAACCAGTGGTCATTGGGATAGTCTGGTCAAGTGTGATGAGCACCGTGGAGTGGAACAAAAAGGAGGAGCTTGTAGCAGAACAAGCCATCAAGCACTTGAAGGTAGGGCTGTCCCTGGGGAAGGCGAACTGTCACACGTTAGTGGGGTGTGGACTCGCAGTGGGTGTTTTTCTAAGGCAGTGGTTCTGAACATGTGGTCATGACCTTTGGGGAGTGGGTCAAATGACCCTCTCACAGGGGTTGCCTAAGACGATCAGGAAACACATATTTATATTACGATTCAGAACAGTAGCAAAATTAGATTTATAAAGTAGTAAATAAGTTTATGGCTGGGGATCACACACCATGAGGAACTGTATTGAAGGGTCTCAGCATTAGGAAGGTTGAGAACCACTGCTCTAAAGGATTTACCACATTTGTGGTGCTGGGGACCATCTACCAGGAAGTAGACATTAGTGTTGATAATGCTTTTAAGGCTGACTTGGCTCATAAATTAAAAATAATAAAATGCTTAAAAATAATTGAAGCCTGTGATTTGGTACTGCTGAAGGAATTGGAAAATGGGAAAGTTTTTTTTTCTTACCCAATGAACTATACTTACCTGAATAGAGCTTAGTATATTTTTCTGCTTTCCTATTTTTTATTCCTGACTTCCAGTGAACTGACTAGAATTCACTGAGGTACGGTGAGCTCTGTATTGTGGGAATTCTGTAGTGATGGCCATTGTAATGAGTAAGCCATGTTTTCTTTGAAAAGCAATACAGCCCTCTGCTCGCTGCCTTCACCACTCAAGGTCAGTCTGAGCTGACCCTGTTACTGAAGATTCAGGAGTACTGCTATGACAACATTCACTTCATGAAAGCCTTCCAGAAAATTGTGGTGCTTTTTTATAAAGGTAACTCTTCAGTCTTGTGGAAGTTGTATTACATCCTTAAGTACTGGAAATAAGGAGTGTCTGGACATGAGCTCCCCGTAGTCACAAAGTGAAATCATGTCTGCTTAAATGGAGGGTTGTCTGTCATTCTGTTTGTGTTTGAGACAGGCTGTCACTGTTGTGTTGACTGGCCTGGAACTTAGAGAAAGATCCACCTGCCTCTGCCTCTTCCTCCCAAGTGTAGTATTGGGGTCCCCACATCCAGCAGAATTGAGTGTTTTACTTGGTACATTGCTATTATCTGTGAGGCTAGTTTACAGGTTAAATAAATCCACAAGTGAGAATCTCTTTGCCTACCCACACCCTTATCCCCACAGAAAAACACCTCAAGTGCCAAGTAGGCATTTGTACCTTATGTGGTTTCTAATATAAATGACATTATTTGTAGCTGAAGTCCTGAGTGAAGAGCCCATTCTGAAGTGGTATAAAGATGCACACGTTGCAAAGGGGAAAAGTGTCTTCCTTGAGCAGATGAAGAAGTTTGTAGAATGGCTCAAAAATGCTGAAGAGGGTAAGTATCCTCTGTGTAGATTGGAAATTGGGTTGTAGCATTGGTTTGTGTTGTCTTTTTAGAAAAGACTTCATAGTGTAGCCCTGAATGGCTTTGAACTTAGCTGTTCCCTTGCCTCCCCCTCCCAGGCGCTAGGATTATAGGTATATAGGTGTGTGTGTGTGTGTGTGTATTTCACCTACCACAAGTTGGTTTGAGATATGACACTGATAAACCTTCACACAAGTTTCTTTGATCCTGCTGACACACTATTTGGGGAGATTTTCTGTTCTTTATTTTACCATGGTTATCTCTTTTTCAGACGAGTAGAAACAAAAGTAGAAACTAAACTTTAATCTTGTAATCATTTTTAAAGTGTTATTGTATTTTTATTTAGTGTATGTGTATGAGTGTGATCGCCACATGTGGGAACAACTTTCCTTTTAACAAGGATCAAACCGGGGTTAGATCTTACCTGGGCTTACTGTGGTCTTGCCGGCCCAATTATGGGATCTTCGTACACTAAACAACAGGGAAATTGTTGAAATTTTTGAGATTTGTAAATGTGTACTTGTTCTCAATTGATATTAGTCAAATTCTTTTTTTTTTGGTTTTTTTTTTGGTTTTTTCGAGACAGGGTTTCTCTGTGTAGCTTTGCGCCTTTCCTGGAGCTCACTTGGTAGCCCAGGCTGGCCTCGAACTCACAGAGATCCGCCTGACTCTGCCTCCCGAGTGCTGGGATTAAAGGCGTGCGCCACCAACGCCCGGCTAGTCAAATTCTTACATGATTATAAAGTTTCAAATAATGGCTTCCTGAAATGGTGTTTGACTAGTTTTCAAACTCTTTTCTAGAATCTGAGTCTGAAGCTGAAGAAGGTGACTGAATTTTGAAACAACATCCTCAGTAAAGCAAACAGGAGTTGTAGATAAAATGTCATGTCTCATGTGTCCTGGTTCTTACATCTCCCTACCTCCCTATATCAAGCATGATATAAGGGCTTTCATGGCAGTTTTTATTTTCACTTTTTATGGTTCCTGGAAACGGTGGGTTGGTTTCAGAAGCCATGTGTCAGGAGCTGCAGGGGCTGTAGAACTGAATCTGGTGTGGCATTGTCTGTCAGTTACCTTCTACCTCCTGTATTTTCTACTGTAATAATGTGATGCAAGGCCTTCGCAGTGAGCACTTCACTTGATCCAACCTGGGTTTTCTATATAACAGTTTTCAAGATAGGATTTGGTTAAAAATAATTTGTTACAAAAAATTCTGTTTGCAAATTAAACTGTAAAAGTATCCAAAGTCTCAAAAGGCAATGATTTGTGTGATAATTTAGTATGTCCAGAGCCCTGTCCCATCAGCGAAAATCCTGTAGACAGTTGAATCCATAACATTAATCCTGAGTGTTTGGACCATTGGTTATATGTTAGCATTTTACTGTATTTTCAACCCCAGATGTTGTTTGTTCTCTGGTTTCATCCTTAGTAAATCCATGGAGAGCAAACTTGAGTTTGAGAGCTCATACATGGCAGAGGTAGGAAGAGAGCTGAGGTTTTCCCTGGAAAATTGTATGTCCATCTGTATTTGGATAACTTAGATTCTCTGCATAAACATTCTACTCAGGACACAGCTAGACTGTGAGGAAGGGACTCCCAAAGAATTGGGAGTTGAGGAAACAGCTTGTCACTAACCCCTGAGATGGTTGAGAGTATTCGGGGTGAGCATGTCCTCCCAGGATCTATCAGGACTCCATTTCCTGTTAGGAAGGTGAAGGCAGTCATAGCCGCCTCCTGCTGGGCCTGGCTTCATTTTTCTATGTTCCAACACCAAGTCACATACCCTAGTTGCCATTTTTTTTAATTGCCATGAGCCAAAATATATCTTTAAATGATTAATCCATTGATTTTAATTTGATGGCTGCCTTTTTCGTTGCTTTTCTTTTTGCTATCCATTTGTAGTTGGTAGGGGGAAATGTAGCCATCTTTTTGGGGAAGGCTAAAAGTGAGTTTTTTAATTGATAAAAGAAAATAGAATAATGCCACCAGAGACTGAGTGGAAATTGCCCATTTTTGAAGGTGCCATTCTTAGAAGCCAATAATTTGGTATTTAAAGCTTGTCTTGAGAGAACAACATGTAATATAATTTGAAATAAAGGTATAGTAACCTTGAGAGCATTATAGCAAAAAATGGATGGGTGGGGTGACTTTGTAAAATGAATGACTTTGATAAAGTTTTATGCACAGGCAAATGTATTCATTAGATTCTGTGTAGTGATCTGCTTTTTCTTTGTAATTTGTAGTCCTAAAAAAAATTTTTTTTAAATAAAGTCCATCCTTACATTTAGGTTTTATAGATCAGTCTTTTTTTTACCCCCCAACAAATCCCATTGATCCCCAATGATGTGCTGTGTGTTGTGCTTTCAGATGTTTACTGTATAAGCATTAACAGTTCGTCCTTTCAACTTGTAGACTAAACACCTCACAGATTCCAATGTAGCTGAAACTACATTGCCATTTCTACAACCAGATCCTTGCATGCTACCGCCGTTCAAAACGCACCGTTTATTATATACTGTGTATAGTGAAAGAGTGTGGAGTCTTCCAGAATTACATTATGATCTTTGATCATAGATTTTCCCTTCATACACATTAGTGTTCACTTATTATAATAGTACATTGGTAAGGCACCTGTAAATACAATGTAAAGAAAGGGAGCAATTTATAAAATCTCATTTTGAATTTAAATGCCAACCTATGGCCATGGCCTCCAATATGTATTCCTAATAGAGATGTTAAAACTGTGCTTTTAATCATTATAAACAATTGTTGGTTGACTTCCCTAATTTGGTGTCAGTTTCTAAGGCTTTCAGTCTCTTAGATACATACTGTGTATTTAGAACTGTTAAGTGTCACCTTACTAGGATTATTGTCCTAGAAATACTGTTCTTATAAAATCTCCGGATACCAAAATGCCACATATTTTCCTTGGCATAATGATGGTGGTAAGGGAGATGCATGTGACCAGGAGGTTAACTTACAGCAGTGTTGAAGCTTTTCCATTATCAGAACTCTCAGAACCCTTTCCCATAGTGCCCCCAATAAATTTTAATATAGATACACTACATACCGTGTCTGTGCTTTATATGTGAAAGAGTATTTTATATCCTCTAAGAATGAACTTAACCATTGAGAAAATGAAAGTAGAGGTTTAATGATATGTTTCCAATGTTTATTACTATTCAGTGTAAAAGTTTTTGTTCTTTCTATCAGGGTCACTGGAAAAGCTCCCCGCCCCCCCTTTCCCTTCCCCCTTTCTCAATCAACACTGGGCCTTGACCAGTCTTGTAATGACAAACTACCACCGACCCATCTTGAGATGGTTTCATCAAGATACTCATGGTAGCCTTGAGACTCCTCCTGTGCCCAGGCAGGCTGTACACTTCAGTCTTCCTGCCTCAGTCCTCTGTGCAGCCTAGGCCTGTAATGGGCAATTCACGATCTATGAATCATCTCCCAACTGATTGGTACCTTAGCACCAGGCAAAGCATTTCCACTTGGCCTTGGGGCTTAGTAGGGCTTTGCAGATTCTTGAAGCCAGGTGAAGTGGCTCACACCTGTAACCCTAGCAATGGAGAAAAAGGCAAATAGACTTGCTGCTGCAAGGTTGAGGCTAGTCCTGACTGGCCTGAACTCTGCCTCTTCCTCCCCGAGATTTGATTATAGATTTATCGTTTAATCTGAGTTTCTTCTAATGTGTTTTTTAAAAACCATTAGAAATCTTGTAGAAAAATGGTCCATTTCAAAGTTGTGGGGAGCAGGGGGGGGGAATGGTTTTGAAATTTTGCTGGTTGTCTTATTCTATTGCCGTGACAAAATGCCATGACCAAGGTAATTTATAAAAGCATTTGATTTGGGGGCTCACAGTCCCAGAGGGTTAGTCTGTGACCATCATGGCTGGAGCATGGCAGCAGGTAGATAGATGGCATGGCATGGAGCGGCAGCTGGGAGCTTAGATGCTGAGAAGACGCCCAGGAGGCAGACACACTGGAAATGCCGTGGGCTTTTGTAACCTCAAAGCCTGCCTACCTCCATATGTACACCGCCTGGTCCTTGGAAAGCACTTCTACAGACTGGGGAGCAGGTGTTCACATGTGGTCCTGGGGAGTCATTTCCCATCCAGACAGCCGCACTTGTCAACATCTCTGCTCAAGGAGACTGCTTTCAGAACCTAGAAACTTGGTTGATGTGAGCCTAACAAACCAATGTTTGCACCTTACTGAATTATTTTGTGTCGTAACACTTTTCTCGGGTACTATGTTAAAATAAGCAATTTTAAGTCTTAAATTGCTTTGTTAGGATGTGTGTGTTAAGTCTTAGTCTTTTTATCAGTCTTAAATACTTCTATACAACCATAATACTGAGGCCTTAAGATTTAAAATACTAGGGGGCTGGAGAGATGGCTCAGCGGTTAAGAGCACTGGCTGCTCTTCCAGAGGTCCTGAGTTCAATTCCCAGCAACCATATGGTGGCTCACAACCATCTGTAATGAGATCTGGTGCCCTCTTCTGGTGTGCAGGCACACATGCAGGCAGAATATTGTATACATAATAAATAAATCTTGAAAAAAAAAAAAAAGATTTAAAATACTAGGAATACCGTGAGCATGGAGACCATGCTTTTAACCCAGCACTCAGGAGAAAGCGGCAGGTAGATGTGAATCCAGGCTAGCCAGGGCTACAGCTTGAATAAAGTGGGTGGAGATAGGGTAATGAAAGATGTTATGTAGGCATGGTGGTTTAAACAATCTGGAAATAGCTGGTGCTTTTGACTAGAAACAGCTTAGTTTAGAATTGCCTTTTTCTTGAGAAAAATGTGAATTAATAGTGGATTAATAGCGGGGCGCACGCCTTTAATCCCAGTACTTGAGAGGCAGAGCCAGGCGGATCTATGTGAGTTCAAGGCCAGCCTGGGCTACCAAGTGAGTCCCAGGAAAGGCGCAAAGCTACACAGAGAAACCCTGTCTCCAAAACAACAACAAAAAAATAGTGGATTAATAACTCTTGGCCAACTCGGGTGGAATTGGCTGGGCTATAGCTCAGCCGGGGAGCCTTGTCTGATAGGTGAGGCCTTAGATGTAGTTTTTACTCTTGCCAAAAGGCTTCCAGACTCAATTAAATGGCAAGGATACTTTACAAATGTGCTGGGTGACAGTTTAGTAACCCCTATTTGTGAAATCCTGTGTTACAGACCAGCTGCTGGGCATGTCATCCCAGCTCCCAGAGGCTGAGGCAGCCTGGGCCAGTGCTGTGTTTCTAGGAGAGGTGAAAGGGAAAAGTTCCAGAAATCCTTGGTGGATTATCCCAAGACAGTGAAAGATTAGGAGACTAATGAAATTTGAATGTTTATGGTTGTGTGGTGGATTCTAGTTGCTACAATTAGCAAGTATTATGTTGTCACCCGTTTAAAAATAAGTTGGTTGGAGAGCTCACCAAATGGTAGAAACTTGTTAGCATACCCACACTAGTGTGAGACTTGTAGGGTTTCCCACAGTTCTAGTTACTGACATAGTAAAGGCAACAATGAAATTGTGACTGCATCTGGAATAACCACAAAATCCCATAGATTCAAGGGCTGTGTTGGGATTCCTGGCCACTCCTCCAGCTGCATGACCACGCATGTGCAGTTCCGTAGCCAAGTAAGGGGCTCTCCCACAGGCCTGGTCACGCTCTCTTCTGTCCCTCCCTCCTAATAAAACTGATAGTGGATTCTGTTGTAGCGCATGGCCTTTCTCACTGTAAGAGCGCTGCTTAATGAATGACAGCACCACCACATTAGAACCAACATTGGTGGAAGCAGGCTCTCCCAGCACTCTGCGTCTGGGACCCTGTACCGAGGTTTCCTCCATCTATGACTGCCCACTTTTTCTACACACTGGCTGCCCAGATTGGTGAGTTTTTTCTTTCCAGTCCCTCGCCATTTCCCAGGACTGTAGCATGTAGTATTTCTCACTGTCGGACCCCCGGGGGGTCCTCTGGGTATGTACACCCCGGCCCTTGTCCCTCTCTTGAGGAAGGGTGGGATAACTTGTGCCGGTAACTTGTGCTGATTCACAGATCCTTCCTTTGCCTCGGGGATGCCTGAGACTGGGAGTCTTGGGTCCCGTTTGTTATTTCAATTGTTCATTTTTTTCTCTCGGCTACAGTTATGGGACAAAGGCTTCCTCCTCTTGGTCCCGCTCCTCTGAAAAATGCTTTAAATATCCCTAGATACCAGTAAACATGGCTGCGTAATGGCTGCTTGGACCCGGATATTTCATGGGAATTATCTAACTTCTGCCAGTGAACAGGCAAATGAACAGGGTTAAACCTTATTCCCAAGCTTTTTACCTAAGCTCTGATCCCTCCCTTTTTGATTCTTTCTCTCCTGCCCACATGCATTCCTGAACCTCAGGAATCTCTGACTCCAAAGAATCTACGCTTATCTGACCTCCAAGGCCGCTTCTGCCAGACTCTGGCTCCCACTTTCACTCTTACTGTGACCCGTTCTCAGCAGCCCTGAGAAGCACAGACAGGTCTGGAAGCAGGCTGGGACGCATGCAAATGAGTTTACAATCAGGACCCACATTGGGATTATAATAATCCGATGGCTCTCTAGCCAGAGATCAGTTTACAACCTGCCTCCTGGCGGGTCTTCCTGTAGCTGTCCTCACACCAGCCAACTATCCAAAAACAAAACAAAACAAACAAACAAAACAGTATCCAAAAACAAAACAAAGCAAAAGAGTAAAACCGGACTCATGTTTCCCATCAGGGTTCAATTTAAGCATCTGGAGAGGGGGCTCCTGACCCCACAGGCAGAAGTTTTAGCTGTAGCATTTAAGGTGCCATGGGAGAGATGAGAAAGCCTGTGAACAGAATTGCCAAATGCTGGCATACGCTATCTGAGCAGCTGCATGAGGCCTTCCAGGTCCTCCTGCTAAAAAAGGCCACACAGGCTAGTGTGTGCCCTGCTCCTAGGACCATCAATTGAGCCTTGTTCAAAGTGCCAGCTAGAGAGATGCTGGTCAGCTGACTGCCCTCATGCATGGGTGGCATGGGGACATCAAAGACCTCCAGCAGACTTCCTAGGCTTGGCCACGGGCTCACAGGAAATCCAGGAGGAAGCATGGGGCGAACTGTTCCTTCCTTTTGGACACCAAGCCACTTACTCAGTCCTGAGGGTGTTTTGGGGTCCCACCTCTCCTCATTTCCCTATGACAGCCTTGCCCATCTCACCAGACCTCACCACTTAGTTGTACTTGCAGGGGTACCTAATGGGAAGAGTTTCCAGCTAAGGCAAGAGCTTTTGTTTCGTTTGCTCCTCCATGTGCCTCCAGACCAGTCAGCGGCGCTTCTCAGGCACAGGGACACAGATAGGGCCCTGCTCTCAAGTTCCAGAGGAACTCAGGATCCACTGCCTTAGCACCAATTCCAGAAGAATGAGATTTCACCCCACAAGCTTTTCTCTTCCCTCTTTCTTTTTTGGTTTTTCGAGACAGGGTTTCTCTGTGTAGCTTTGCGCCTTTTCCTGGAACTCACTTGGTAGCCCAGGCTGGCCTCGAACTCACAGAGATTCGCCTGGCTCTGCCTCCCAAGTGCTGGGATTAAAGGCGTGTGCCACCACCGCCCAGCTCTATTTGTACTTTTTAAATTTTGAGATATTGAACATTTAATAATATATATACATTATATATGCAGATATATAATCAGCTTTGCCATTATCATTTAAACTCGGCGACTGATTGACATATCAAATCTGTCAACTTCTAACCTCTCTATACGTTTTGATCTGAGAAATCCAGTCTTATCTTCCCTCTAAATTGTGAAGTCCCAGCCTGTGGGTTGTCAAATAAATTTGAGGTGGAGAAAAGCCCATCTATCTGCTTCTTAGCCCCAGAATTTACTGCCATCAATTCAGAGGTCAGATTTGATACATGCCTGATAGAACAATTCAATGTATTGAATTTAATGCCCATGTTTGCAAAAATATTAATGCATCATATTATTAGAGGGAAATCACCATTTATCTAAATGAGGATCTTCATTAAGTAATGAGAAGTCATCATCAAGAACTTTATGAAACC